TTATATACATACATGTGCAGAGTGTGGGATGTAAGCACTTAATAAATGCTGACTCTGAATCATAGTGTTTTCAAGTGGTGAGGTCCACAGTGATACCAGAAACAATGAAAGTAGTCAGTTTAACTTGGGGAATATAGGAAGACAGAAATCAGTTAGAAACAAATTGCCAGTGTGATCCTTTTAACAGTGATTAGATCATGTCATTTCCCTGCTCTGACCCCTCTAATGGCCCCCCCTCATAGTTAAAATCCAAAGCCTTTACCATACTTACCAGGCTCTCTTGTCCTCAATTTCTGCCATTCTTTTCCTCATTTACTCCTTCTCAGCATACAGCAGTCATCTTTCTATCACTTAATCACTGCCCTCTGACCAAAGACCACCAGGAACACATCTATAGAACAAAGGTGGATTGTGTTGACTCATGGCAAGGGGGGAGAAAAGTATGTTTCTTCTCAGTAAAAGGTTGGGGAACATGGAAAACTGTGTTTCAACTCAGTAAATAGGTGTTAAAAGGAACTTGTCGTTGGATTTTGGCTTGTATTAGTGATTTGGGGGAGAGTTCTAGGAAGCAGGACTACTGGAAGTGAGAGTAATCTATGATTTGGCAGTTTAATAATTTTTATATCTAAGGCAAGAGGAAGGAAGGAAGAGCTAAAACTGTAATTGTAAAGAAGTAGCAGCCACTCCTCCAGGAAAGAAGTGTTTGGTGTTTTGGTGTTTTATGGTTTGGGTCACAACATTTTTTTGGAGGTTGGTGTGGGGGTTTCTGAACTGAGATACGATTACGGAGTGATCTTGTTCTTTCTCTGGTTTATCATCATCCCAGGGTGGCTTTGTCTAATGTTGGTGGTTTGAGGTATTGTTTGTGTTCAACAAAAGAATGCAATAGCAAGTCCAGATCCTTCACCAAGGCCTAGCTGGCAGTACTAAGCTAGCTCCTGGCTGTCAGGAACTACTCTTCTCTTTCTTATCATGAACATGTGAAATATGCTCACTTTAGAACCTTTGCACTTTTTTTGGTCTCTTCTGCTTGGTATATTCCTCTTCAAATACTCATTCTGCTTACTCCATCATTTCATTTAGACCTAAGCTCAAATGTTATCTTAGGGAGGCCATCTCTGTCCATTCTTTCTCTGAAATAACATTTCCAGAACTTGCTATTCCTTCACCCTGCTCTATTTTTCTCCATGGCACCTAGAACTACTTAACTTTATTTTATGTTTGTATTGTATTGTATTGTATTATATTGTATTGTATTGTATTGTATTGATTTTGAGACAGCATCTCACTCTGTTGCCCAGGTTGGAGTGCAGTGGTGTGATCTTAGCTTACTGCAGCCTCCACCTCCTGGGTTCAAGTGATTTTCCTCCCCTTAGCCTCCCGAGTAGCTGGGACTTACAGACACGTACTACCATGCTTGGCTAATTTTTATATTTTTTGTAGAAGCAGGGTTTCACCATGTTAGCCAGGCTGGTCTCGAACTCCTGGCCTCAAGCGATCCGCCCACATTGGCCTCCCAAAGTGCTGGGATTATGGGCGTGAGTCACCATGCCTGGCCTATTTATTTTATTTTTACCTATCTTTCCTGCTAGAATATACAGTCCTCAGGAGCATGGATTACATAGATCACAATGTGAATGGTGCCCTCTGGAGTAGTGAAGTGTCATCCTGCTTCGACAGGGGCCTTGTCTCTTCTCTTTATACATTTATCCCCATCAGTCAGAACACTACCCTGTGTTCACTTGGTCCTTGGTAAATATCTGACAATGAATAAGTGTTTAGAAAGAGGACATTGTATCTGATCAATCCTTTGTGGGGTGGGGGTGTCCAGTGTGCTCTGAACAGTGAGAACAAAAGGATAACAAGAAATAATCATTTAACATTATCCTATTAAAGTATTGTATAATTGCTTAGAGTACAATTTATGTGAATTCATGTTCTTACATTCTTTTTACTCTCGATTGCAATTTTAGGGATCAAAGGAAGCAGTTCCAGGTACTGGTAGAGAACAAGTTTTATGAATGGTTGATTAATACAGGACATCGCCAACAGCTGGATAGCCTTGTACCCCCTGCAGCAGGCTCCAAACAAGCGGCTGGATAAGGATCTTACATGCAAACACTGGTAGGCATTTATACCACTTAAAACAGATTCTTTTGGGGGAAATCTTTCAAGCATAATAAAAAAGGCACAGAATATTATATACTAAACATGCCCAAATTTTTTTCTACCACTCCTACCAGCGTACACAGACCTTTGTGTACCCACATTTACCATATTTTATAGTGAGAAAACCAACCAAAATATTCAGATGGAGCCTGTAGAATTTGGGGCCAATATAATGGCCAAATTTTGTCTTTTTTTGCTTTTTGCCTGGCACAAGTTATATTGTCCAAAGATACCACATTCCCCCATACATAGTTTTGTTATTAACGACAGTCACCATGTTGTACATTAGATCTCTTAAATGTATTCCTCCTAACTGAAATTTTGTAACCAAAGATTTTGGATGTGGCATTGTTTGAAAAAACTGTAGACTAGAAACACCCCAAATGCAATGTATTTATATGCTAATTATATGCCTAACAATCTTTGAAAGAATATAAATAAATTATAAACAGTGTTTGTCTTTGAGGAATGAGATTGGGTGTCTAGGGTAGGAGAAAACTTCTTAAAAATTTTATTGAGATAAAATATTACCACATAACATTATGGGAAGTAAAATTCACCTTTTTAAAGTAAAGAATTCAGTAGTTTTTAAGCATATTCACAAGTTTGCACAACTATCACCACTAAAAATTCCAGAACATTTTCATCACCCTCAAAATAAAGCTCGTACACATTGTAGGCCACTCCTCATTCCTCCAACCCCCTGTATTTCCTCTTCCCCTTAGCCCTTGGCAACCACTAATCTACTTTGTCTATTTTGAACATTTTATGTAAATGGAATCATGTGACATGTGACTTCTTATGTCTGGGTTCTTTCACTTAGCCTAGTATTTTCAAGATTGACCCATGTAGCCATGTATCAGTACTGCATTCTTTTTCATGGCCAGATAATATTCATTGTGTGAATCTACCATTTTGTTTATCTTTCATCAGTTGATGGACATTTGGCTTGTTTTTACTTTTCAGCTGTTGTGAGTAATGCTCTGTGTACATTTGTGTACAAGTTTTTGTGTAGACATTTGTTTTTATTTCTCATGGGTATATACCTAGAAGTGGAATTGTGAGGAATATGTTTAACTTTTTAAGGAACTGCAGTTTTCCAAAGCTGTAAAAGTGTATTTTTTACTTTATATATTTACATTTCTTAAGGATGTATTTTTTTAAAGAATTTAGCAATATTTATTCGTAAATACTGAGAATTAAGAATTAGCAATTTTGCTGAGCGCAGTGGCCCATGCCAGCGCTTTGGGAGGCTGAGGTGAGAGGATCTCTTGAGGCCAGCAGTTCAAGACCAGCCTGGGCAATATAATGAGACCCTGTCTCTACAAAAAATTTAAAAATTAGCTGAGCATGGTGGCACATGCCTGTAATCCCAGCTACTCTGGACACAGACTGGAGGATCCCTTGAGCCCAGAAGTTCAAGGCTGCAATGAGCTATGATTGCACCACTGTATTCCAGCCTGGGCAACAGAGTAAGACCCTATCTCTTTTAAAAAAAAAAAAAAAAGGAATTAGAAATCTGATGGAGATTATGCAAAAGAAATGTGAACTATAAGCAGGTAAAAATTTTTGTTTAATCTTCACTGCTTAACAATTTTTTTGTATTCATGTATGAATTTCTCTTTTATTATGATCTAACATTACACCTAGCAAAAAGGAATGTTATTAACCTTAAACTTTGTGTATTTTACATTCTAATCTATCGTTTGACCTTGATAATTTATGTGATTTTTTAAACATAGAGTTTTAAAATTATTTACATGAAGGCAATAGAAAATTAAGTGATTAATATTATTTTTTCTTTGATCTTCAGGGCCCTGGAAATACAAGGATAAATGGAGGATGGTGCTCATCTTGAAACTAAATTGGGAAGGTGCTCTTGCTGCTGAGAGACATTGGGACTTTTCTGTCCTCTTTTTTTTTTTTTTTTTTAGATAGTCTCACTCTGCCGCCCAGCCTGGAGTGCAGTGGCGCGATCTCCGCTTACTGTAAGCTCCGCCTCCCGGGTTCACGCCATTCTCCTGCCTCAGCTTCCTGAGTAGCTGGGACTACAGGCACCCGCCACCACGCCCGGCAAATTTTTTTTGGATTTTTAGTAGCGACGAGGTTTCACCGTGTTAGCCAGGATGGTCTCGATTTCCTGACCTCGTGATCCACCCGCCTCGGCCTCCGAAAGTGTTGGGATTACAGGCGTGAGCCACCACACCCAGCCTTCTGTCCTACTTAAGAACTTTGATTTCCATTCCATATTCATTTATTACTGTGTAGGCTGAATTTTCGCTAAACTTCTGACTTTTATATAAATGTATTGTTTATAGAACATCAGAAGACTCATCTTTGTGGTGCCCAAATGAAAAAGTTGGTGAAGGTAGTACCATTGTATGTATGTTAATATTAAAGCAACTGAGTGTAGATTTGCAACTATAGTATGTATCTTCATTTGTGTGATGAAAGAATTTTATTCTTTCTAGAGTTAAATAAGAGTTTTACAGTTCTTTGTAACTATTTAAAAGGAAGTTGCTACTCCTTTTAAAAAATAATTGGAAAGTATGATTTGTTGGTATATAGATATAGCAGAAATAGTTTTATACTATATTTTAGTCCTTAAAGTATGGAACTTGATGAAATTGTGTAAAAAAATCTTTATTTTTCACGTCCTGCTTCAAATTTTCAATAAACAAACTCCAAAGAAATATTTCCTATTTTTGTAAAAGATATAGCTTTACTTTTAATTTTAGAAAAGGTTTCCAGTGTTATTCCTCAAAATGTCAAGTAAAGTTTCCATTTGACTGGGAAAACCTTCTTTCAGATAAGTGAGTGAAATTGTCAAATTACCAAACGAGTGAAACGAATCAGATTGCTGATAAACATTGGTTCGTATGCTCTCTGGCCATTTAATTAGTAATTCTATCAAAAAAGTCTTTTGTATTTCTAAAGTAAAAATTTAGAATGTTTAATTCTAATTGAAGTTTACATAGTTTTTATTTTAAGAAGAAATTTAAGAAGCAGACTGTTACTGAATAAACACTGGAGTAACAAATATATTTTAGATATTGCTATTTGTTAATAAAATAAATGATACTGAGACACTTTTTTTAAAGTTTATAAAATTCCAAAAACTAAGCATATAGCTTAATATTTTCTCAGTAATCTTTATATCAAGGCACATTTGCCATTTTCTGAATTGACCATAATACATCCCATTTATTAAGATATTTGTTGGATAGTTTTATTAATAGAAAGATGAGGAAGTTGGACTTTTAAGAATATACTTGATCAGTTAAAGTTAAAAATGGAGAAAAGTTAATTTGTTGTTGTTGTTGTTGTTTTGTATTTACATAAGATGCAATCTCATTCCTAAAGTCAGAGGTGTATTAGGGCCAAAAAATGTTCTCCGAACAGGTTCGAATGTTGTATTATGGGCAAAGAAGACCACCTAGCCAGTAGCAGGTTGTGTTTAGTTAGCTAACCCTTGGCAAATTCAGGAGTCCCAAGTCACTTTTCTGCATACAGTGGCATCCTTCTAATGGATTAGAGCTCTTTTTCTAAAAAGAAATTGTGTTTTGAAAAAATTAAATAATAGTTGCAAGAATAAGTCAGTGAACTTTAACATACCCTTTATCTAGATTCGATTTGCCAGTTGTTAACATTTTGCTACATTCTCTTTACCACTCTCGACATGATAGTATTGTTTTATTTTTGCTCAACAATTTGAGAGTTAGGTTGCAGACATCTTGAACCTTTCTTCTAAATGGTAGCATACATGTCCTAGAAACAGACATTCTCCTACCTAGTCATGGTACAATGATCAAATTCAAGAAGTGAGACTTTGGTACAATAGTATTATCTAATTTACAGTCCATATTAAAATGTTTCTGATTGTCCCAGCAGTGTTCTTTATAGTGACTTTTTTCCCCAAACACAAGATCATGCATTGCATTTAGTTGTCATGTAAGTTTTGTTGCTTTTAGAACATGTCGCTTCTGTCCAGAATTAGAGATAGTCTTCTGACTCTTACCTCTTACAAGCTTTGTTGAAGAAAAAGGACATTAGGAATTTCAAAGAGGCCGCTTCCTATTTAAAAAAAAAAAAGCAAAAAGGGACTCTTTTGTTTTTAATTTTTACAACTTTGTCTGGGTTTTGGTTTCTTGACTCAGCAAAGTCTATAATGCAGCAGGGCTTGGTAAGCACTAAAGGCGGTACTGAAGCTTTCCTTTATTTTATAATCCCAATTGTTTTTTCTAGAAACCATCAATAGCGTCTAAATGACTGACTCAATTTTTGGATCCTGTTCTCATGACTAAGCAAATGTTTGACTGAAACCAGCCCATATAAATGTCACTGTGCCTCTAACTCTCTGTAGCCATTCCTGAATTTCTTTCAGCACTGGGAAAACCAGTCTGTGCACCAAAAATGTCTAAAACTGGAACCAAGGTAAGTAGTCATACTGATTTTTAGCCTACCCACTTTTCACCTAATGATGCATTAAACACACAGAAAAGCTTTTGCTTCTTTGCCTAGAGGTGAGTATGATAGTGGTTAGAGAACTGGGATTGAGAGAGAAGATTAAGAAATGCTTATTATTTTTCTACTCTTAACAGAATTACTAAACACTTTATTAAGGGTTTATCTTTATGTATGGTGCTATGTTGAATACTATACAGGTAAATAATTTATAATATCACTATTATTTCTGCCTTCTAGCAACTAATATTCTATGCAACTGATATTCTCCATAGGAATAAGACATGCTAATGGAGATTATATGGAGAAGAAAACTTTTAATAATCAATTAAAATTTTGTTTTCTGAAATGTAGCCTCAACCATTAGTGTTCTAAAAGGCCAAAGTGGATGGGCTAATCAGGTGAATAAACTCCTACATCTCTCCTTCATTCAAGCAATTATTTTTACTTGTTCCCCAAATAAAGTGCTCCCTTATAGTCAGAAAATTGCCTGTAAAGTATTTGACTCACAATTGTTGGATTGGAAATTATTCTCTCAGATAGGGCTTTGGGAATGAGGGAATATGCCTTCATTTTCTTTTTAGCTCTTCCACTGATGAGACAAAACCGCTGCGCGATTTTTACCCCCAGCTATTCGAAAATTTTCAAACCCATTGAATCTTCAAAGAATGGGGAAGAAATGTTGAATGAATATTTGTTTATCTTTCACTTATATTCTCCAGTTGTTGACATTTTGCCATATTTGGTCTCTCCTATCTCCATCTCTTTCTCTTTACTAAACCATTTGAAAATTAGTAGCAAACTTTATTATACTTTTGCCTTGAGTATTTAGGCATGTATCTCCTAAAAACTAGGGCGTTTTCCTGTATAAACACTGTGTCATTAGCGTGTCCCCAAGATTTACCATAAATACAATAGCTAATATTGAGACCATATTCATATCTCCCCTGATTGTCCCCAAAAACGTGCTTCATGGTGGCCTTTTCCCCTAATACAGGATCAAAAACGTGTATTGCACTTGGTTGTCATGTCTCTTTATTCTCTTCAATTTTTTTAGCCTCTCTAAAAAAGTCCCCCTACCCTTTTGTTGTTGTTCTTGAGACACTGACATTTTTCAGAGCCTAGGTTAGATGTCTTTTAGGAAGTCTTGCAATCTAGATTTGTCTAATTGTTTCCTCATGTTTAGATTCAGAATAAATATCTTTGCCAAGAAAGCTACATAGGCAATGTTGTGTACTTCCTGTTGCATCATGTCAGAGGTACCTGTTAACTTGTTCTGTAATTTAGTGTCTTTAGCACTCTGAGGTTCTTGAAAATATACCATGCAAATCCACTAAAAAAGAATTTTAAGTCCTTAGAGGAGGGATATCCATGTGTCTTGAGGTAAAGCTGTTATACAACCATCTTAGATGAAAACATCTGCTTTTAAAGATTTGCAGAGTAGTAATAGTGTACTCTTTTTTATTTATAGCTGAGTTGTTCATTTAGTTAAATAACTTTTGCTTGCTAGGGTAAAGGAGATAGTAAATTATTTCTTACTCTTTCTCATTGCTTCTTCCTTTCCCACTATCCTGCTAGCAGTTTAATCAGAGGAGCTATGGGCTTGGCAAAAGGAATAGATTTAACTAAGTATGTTTTCATTACCTCTGGGATACTCAAGGCATTTTTCTCTCTGCTGCATTGGATTAGTAGGCCGTTTTTCCACAAATAAACCTGATAATGATAGGAATTTTGTAATAATTTCTGAGAAAACTTTCTGCACATTTCTTAGCCTTCTCTACAAAATGTTTTGCCCAAGGGTCAAAACCTCTAAGCTGACAATAGCATGGATTTCATGGTTATTCTACAAATAGAAATTGAGCACAGCTCGGTGCAACATTCTCTGGCTCTTGAGATATAGAAGGTCTCCCACTGAAAGGAGAGCTTAGTCTTGGAGCTAAGTAATGATTCCATAGCAACAGGATGAGGGCTCTGTTTCAACTGTTGGATGGTTGGCTGGTCTTCTGGGAGGGTGGACATCAGGTGACCTTATCAGGTGTCGTGTATATTTTTACTTAGCAGATATTGATAATTAGTCAAGCAAATGTGCAGAAGGCAGTAAATGTGAGAAACTATGAAGTGAAATCGATGGTATTATTAACTTCATTTCCCATAGGATATCTTTTGCAAAGGCTCTTCTTGGTGACTATTTGGTCAAAAACCAAAGGCAAATAGAACATATGAATTAAGGAGTTTAAAATCTATCCATTCTCAGTAAGTTATTTGACCTTCCTAAAGATCTCTCCACAGGTCACGAGGAAGGGCCCCTCAGGCTTAGGCCCAGCCTTGTTCCTTGTCCAAGAGACAAGGTTAAGTGCTGCCATGTTAAACGAAGCTAACTGTGCAGGCAGAAAGACAGCAAAGGAAAATAAAGTGAACAATAGATTACTCACCAGGAGTTTTGCACTGCAGCCCACCAGCTTGTCTGCAACTAACTTGTAACTAGGTAGTGACATTAGGCCAATCACTTAACTTCTTCATCTGTAAAAACTGTAGCAAAAGCTTACTGCCAATTGTGAGTCAGCTATTAAACTAAGTACTTTATCAACATCCCCTTGGACCCTCAGAACATACCATCTGCAAGAGACACTGTCATTCTGTTTTGCAAATGAAGAGCTGTAGAGAAAGGTTAATTGCCCTGTCCAAGGTCACATGGCAAGAAAGCAGTAGTACTGGGATTTTTTTTTTTCTTATCCATAAACTGAGGTGCCATGTATCTAAATCTATATACTGTGCTAAGATGGGAAGGGAACTGAAACACATAAAGAAATTTGGGCAGGGGGTAAAGGAGATGAAGTAGATGACTTAGGAGTTAGGAGTGGGAAGGAAAAACGACCCTTTTAGGGAACAGGAAAGAGAATAGTTGAAATAAATGGGAAGGGAAGGGAAAGATTAAGGTGGAGGGAAATAATTATTAGTATATTAGTATGTAGATAGAAATACCCAGGGTAGAGGAGAATGAGGTTTTATGCCTTTTTGTGAGTCATTCTTGGTTTCTTCCTCTCCTCATTCCCTCCATCTAATTAGTCACCAAATCCTGAAGTTCTTTACTGTTTTCTCATCATCATTCACATTGGAGTTGCATTTTGGTTGGCCGTCATCATATCTCACCTGGCCCACAGCAGCCATCTGTTTCTAGACACACACTACTAAGTCCAACTCACTCATAATCACCAAAGGGATTCCAGCGTGGTTCTTGTGTCATTTTTCTGGCTTTATTTTCTAATACTTCACCACATGTTCAGTATGTACTGGGTTTAATGAACTACTTATTGTCCCTATAATGGGCCATGTTCTTTCACTTCTTTATTCTTTTGAACATGTTTGTTCCTTTTCATTTGCCTCTGGAAAATACCTACTTATCCTTCAATCCTCAGCTCAAAGATCCTGTCAAGACAATACCTGGCTCTGCTCCTTTCATCTGAAATGACTCACATAATTTTCTCCCCTGAAGTCCATAAAGTAAATCAGCCACAAGGTGGCAGCATAATGCCAGGTAATTAACTGTTCAAAGCATGACACCTATGATTTCAGTTTATAACCTAGCATTGATCTGAAATTCCATCTTAAAAAAAAAAAAGATGAAAATATTGTGGAATTATTGAATAACAAGGGACAAGCTCTGTAGCCCATTTGTAGTTTTCATCATGGTTTTCAGGAACCACTTGGTGAATCCTTGGGAGTTCCCAGGGACTCTGTCTCCTGTTTTAGCCAGAAAAGCTCTGAGAGTTGTTTTAAAGCCTGGACTTCCAGTCTGCTGTAGTCTTCAAATAGGAAGCTGAAGCTTAGAGAGGTGGCTGGATGAAGATCGTAAGGCTAATCGTGGAGAGGGAGCTCTGTAGTCCAGACTTACTGTTTCTGGTTTCACAGGGCTGCATATTTTTCAGTGCCATCAGAGACTTACCCCAGGTATTGTGGTAGAAACTTGATAATTGGAGGCAAGGAGCATTCTTGCCTTATCATTTTGTTACTTTGCAACTACTCTGTTGGCAATAAACTAATAATAAAGAACATAATATGATATATTTTCATATATGAAATCTCTACATCCATCTAAAATAAGCTCTCTAAAGCTAAGGTTTATGTTTTATTTTTCTCTTTGTATCTTCCATATCACCTAGGAGTCATTCATCTTCATGAAACAATTATTGAAGTCAAGTGATGGGCATAGAGGATTGATAGCTCAAATAAGGCTTGGAAAAAGTGTACTTGCCTTGGAAAAGTGTACTAGGATTCTGGTGGGAGGCGTAGACATATAAATGGATAATTTATAATATAATGTGGTAAGTACAGAGAGCTGTGGGAACATAAAGGAAGGAAAATGAACTTGGTTCTGAGATTGCTCGCTTCTCTCAGAGCCCTTTTCTGTTTTGCTTCATGTTCAGCTTTCAGGAAGTACTCATTTCTGTTGTTGACAACTGAAGTTGTCTGTCAGAAAGCAATGTTGTAAGGTGACATACAACTACATATTTTTCCTCAAAATTGAGGAGAAAGAAATTTCTAAAGTAGGCATTATATTCCTATTTTTTATCTGTGAATTAAGCCCCCCAACTCCTCAGCTCTTTCTCTGTTGGCCCTCTACTTCAGATTACCTTCTATGAAGACAAAAATTTTCAAGGCCGTCGCTATGACTGTGACTGCGACTGTGCAGATTTCCACACATACCTAAGTCGCTGCAACTCCATTAAAGTGGAAGGAGGCACCTGGGCTGTTTACGAAAGGCCCAACTTTGCTGGGTACATGTACATCTTACCCCAGGGAGAGTACCCTGAATACCAGCGTTGGATGGGCCTCAATGACCGCCTCAGCTCCTGCAGAGCTGTTCATCTGGTGAGTCTGGGGACTGTGCAGTCCCTCTCTTTCCCACACCCTCTGTCTGCTTTCTCTTGCTTTTAGGTGAAAATTTTCTTGAGTCTTTTCTACCTCTAAATGAGTAGCTGCTTGTTGGCTGCTGGGGCTTGAATAACATCTTAGAGCAGTTCATCGCAAGAATGACTACACTAATTTCCAGGGTGCTCTCTCTGCCTCTTGAGTGTTTTGAAGAATTAATTTTTTCTTATTGAAAGTTAGCTGTTTTAATCAGTACATGGTGAGATGGGAGTTCAGATCATCTAGCTTTCAAGGTGATAAGTTCTGAGCAATACTGTTCTCTAAGTTCTTGACCTGCTGGTGATTTCCGTAATGGTTTCTGTTCATTTTCTCCTGTGTCTTTTCAGCCTAGTGGAGGCCAGTATAAGATTCAGATCTTTGAGAAAGGGGATTTTAATGGTCAGATGTATGAAACCACTGAAGATTGCCCTTCCATCATGGAGCAATTTCATATGCGAGAGATCCACTCCTGTAAGGTGCTGGAGGGTGTCTGGATTTTCTATGAGCTACCCAACTACCGTGGCAGGCAGTACCTCCTGGACAAGAAGGAGTACCGGAAGCCCATCGATTGGGGTGCAGTTTCCCCAGCTGTCCAGTCTTTCCGCCGCATTGTGGAGTAATGACATGAATGGGGCCATGTTCTTCCTGAGGCCCAAATGCTGGCTGGCCTTGTGGTCCAAATAGGCATCATCAATAAAACAGTTGGCATGCATCCCACTGCTGACTATAACGCCTCTCCTTAAATGCTTCTAGGGACCAGCAATATAATGCTCGCCACAGTGGGCAGTTACACTAAGCAACACATCCACCAGATCACCAATCTAGATCTTTGTGCCAAACAAAATGAGTCTCATTAAAAGGTTAGAAAGTCATACTGCCATGTGGTGGTTCCTTTTGCTTATGTTTTGCATTATTCAACAGGCACAGTAATAATGGCTACCATTTATTGAATGCCTACATTATTTCATTTTCTCTTTACAACCCTGAGAGAGGTAGTTTGTCTGTATTTTATAAATAAGGAAACAGAGAAATTTAAAATTTGCCCAAATTCACCAGTTGGTGAATGGAGGAGCCAGGATTCAGTCCGGGCTACTTCTGCTCCCCAAATCATTGTTCTTTCTAACACATGCATTCAACACGTTGGCTGGAGATCTGTGCATGTAGTGTCTGTAGAAGCCCCTGAAAATTTTTAAAGGTAGAAAAGAGAGGGTCCACTGATGTTCCAATTGAGGGAACAGAGTATCTATCAAGAACAACCAGTGAAAACAGGGTTATTATTTGAAAATGATGGAGCCATAAGCCATCTGAAGTCCTTGTTTAAGATCCAAAGACTGCTGTGTTAGTTACTTCTCAACCCTAAGTTTAGATCTGTGTAAAGAAAGGACATATTAAAAATGTCCCTACGCTATAATAGTTGAAATGGGAGTTTTATGAAGTTTTACTTGCTTTGAGTAACCCCCGAGATTTTATTTCATCTTGCCTAAGAGGAGAATGATGAAGGAAACAGTATGACCAGGAGTATTTAGTGAGCATCCAGATGAACCTGGGGATGTGCGGAATGCACCCATCTGTAAACAAGATAGCAAAGCCCCTGTGTCTAGGAGCCTTCCCCAAAAGGACAAATTAGAATTGCTAAATTCCCTTTGGGTATACTCTGTAGTGTATAGTGCACAGTTGCCCCAAAATATGTTTATTCATATTGTTATATTCCCCTCCCTTTTGTCATTTTGTCTGTTTGAAGTGAGAGACTGAAAAAAAGTGGGTGTAAGTAAGGTAGGGAAACATGACAAATGGAGAAGGAATGGGAAGCCATTTGCTGGGCTGCAGAGAGCTCTGGCCTGTGAGCTGACTGCAGCCATGAGCTCTCAATTTTGTCACCATACTATGAAGCTACCTTTCCTTATCTCCAAAACAAGGGAGCTGAGCCAAATGCTCTCTAGAGTCTCATCTAACACAAACATTCTCATTCCCCAGAGACCAGCAGGAGGACACTAAAAAACTAGCTGATGACCAAGGACTACTGACACTTAGTTTTAGAGGCACAATTTCCAGAAATGACCTCAGAGATCCACTGATTTTTTGCCAAAGAAATAGGCTGTGGTAACTGAGTTAGTATCAGTCTCTTTTCTCATATCAACTGCTTGCCATGTTCTTTGGTGAGTTGGTCACGGTCTGTTCAAAACAACTAGAAAAGCAGCTCTGGCAGCAGGCTAGGAAAACAAGAAGTGTCAGGATGACTAACCACAGTTACAGAGAAGTAGAAGATGACTTTTGACAGATAAAAGCAGGATTATTATTTTGGAGTGTTGCGTGCCTCCTGGTTCATGCCTTGGTCTAGAAAGAGATTGCTATCATTTTCTCCAGCTGCAGACACACCAATCAACTTTAGGCTTAAAAGGAATTTGACTAACAATTGATATTAGAGGTCAAAAACACTTTATATCCTTACCTGTCAGTCAGTCCCAGCTCTTTTGGTAGAACATTCGGCTGTTAGGACAAGAAGCCGGTGTCTTACCTGCCACCTACACCCAGAACAGCACCTGATAATTCAGTTATCTCCCCCTACCTTTTATTGTTTTATCGCTCTGAAATGGGGGATCTCAATAAAATAAAGCAAGGACACCCTTAAACCATTTTGGTCCTATTTCCATCACAAGAATTTCTCTAAGACAAGTCTCTGAATATTCTCATATATGGAGCTCACTGTCTCAAAACAAAATATCAAAAGCTTCTATCTAGAACTTCCAAGTATTGGAATAGAAAAATAAATATAGTATAGATATGTCCCATGTAATATTTGTAAAATTTGTCTGAAATTCAAATTTAACTGTATTCTATATTTTTATTTGCTAAATCCAACAACCCTACTTCAAGGACAAGGCAAGTTACACAGGAGTGACATGGGGCTAAGAGCGGAGAGTGGTGCAAGCTGTGAAAACGAGCACATTCCCCAATAGAAGGACATTTAAATACATTTTTTTAAAAAAATCACTGCACACCAACAAAATACATCTGTATCTGAATGTGGCTTGTGGACCACCACTTTCCAATCTTGGCTTGTAGGACAGCTCTGAATATCAGAAATTGTTTCTGGGATTGAGCCAAAATCTGATCCCTGAAGCTTTCAACCTGCAATCCTAATTTTCATCCACAGGATAGCTCTTTAGGTATATAAAGATGCCTCCAGTTTGCTTCCATGGTAGCATTTCTACACTGAGCAATGTCTATTTCTTTCATCCTTCCTTTCTTGATGTATGGGCTCCCAGACTCGTCACCATCCTGGTGCCTCTCCTCGTGCTAATGGTCATTTCTCTCTCCCCACTGTCATAGCTGTATGTGGTCTGACCAGTGCAGACTACAGCTGGAGGATTATGTTCAGTTCTTTCATCTTTTTTCTCTGATTTATACTGTTCTTAACTAAGCTCAGCTCTCGCTGTGGCCCAGCCCTGATATGGATGACTGGCTACCTCTCCCTAAGAGCCAACTCTCCAGTCAAAGGGCTAAAGAGTTCTCTTCCTCTTTTGGTAGTTAGACAGAAATGGATTCAAATTCCGCTACTTCCATATGTTAGCTCTAAGTCACATAATCTAACATGTACGTATATCCTCAATTTTCTGTGAAACTAACATAACACCTAATTTGTGGTCATTAAAATGAGATGGTATGTGAAAAATACGTAGCATATAGAGTTAATTGTCATTATTTTCTGTAGTTTTACTCCATAAAAATACCCCAAACACTGAATTGCAAATACTGAACTATTGCTCTTAGATAAAATACTAGGTTAAGTTCCTGTAAGCCTCTGGTCACATTTTTGTCAACTGATCAATATATAAACTTTTTTCGTATGTGTTTCTGTTTAAAGACTCTGGAATATATGTTGTTGATTTATTAACATGGAACTCAGGGCCAGCAGCACTGTAAATGCTGCCTGAAGAAAGAGGATCTAACAGGTATCTCAGTAAGGCACATCGCAGCCTTCTCAGGTTTAGGAACACTAGACAGCCCTTCAGCACTACATTTGGGGATGTTTTCAACAGTGACATTACTAATAAAGAACAATGCAATGTGGAAAGCATGGCACTAAATAGGCTGAAAGGAGACTTGTTTACAGTATGAGAGCTGAAACAAGGAAGGGGGAGCATTTGTTCAACTGTAACTGGGAATATGCTCATTGGATGACTCAGATTTTTCACTGCTCTGCTCATATCCATAAATGATCACAAGAGTACCACAATTAGTGATTTTTGCGATTACAATGAAATTGGAGGGAGTGGGTGAATATGCAAGTATGGAATCTACGTTATAATGAGGGTCACCAGTTCTTTACCACCATGGTTGCCATATTAGTATTGTTTCTGAGCACTAAAGTACTTCTATTATCAGATTGTGTGTGTGTGTGTGTGTGTGTGTTAACTTGTCTAGCTTTTTAAATGCCTGTTTCTATCCCCTAGTTGTTTTCAGAAAAGCATCTCTGCATTTTTGGCAGATACCCCGTAATTGGGAAGAAATATATCAGAATGGTCCAACCCATCCTACTACCTTGCAAAAGAGCCATATTTTTGTTATCATAGGAGTTCAGCCTTTTCTTAGCTCTCCCGTAAGCTTCTCCCTTGGTTCTAGCTCCCAGCAATTTCCACAGCCAGCAGAATTGTCCCTAGAGTTCACACAAGTCCCCTTTATTTTTGTCTCTCTTTTCTGAGGTTCCTCAGGAGACAGAGGGTAGCTAATCACTGAGCTTTGGGTGACCAGCTTCTGACACACACAGGAGTCCCTCATGGGTGTGACTTCAGTGCAAGGGAAACCTTTCTGTCCACAGACACCTCACACCTTTACCTCTTCCTTCAAACCTCAAACTTCAAAGTCAGGCAATTTTAGAACAGGAGAGGCTGGGGCTTCCCCATATACTGTAAAAACAGTGAGATGGGGCTTACTAACTCTAGTTTACAGATGAGGAACTAGGGCTCAAAGAGGCTAAAGAACTTGTCTGAGGTCATTGGTTCCAAAGCTCTCATTCTTTCCACTGTACCATGCAACTTCTGCTTCTCAACTCTCAAGACAGAACCATGGTAACTTGTCTATCATAGAATGAGCTATTTCTTTTTAAATAACTTTATTGAGATATAATTCACATGTCATAAATCCACCTGTTTAAAGCATACAATACAGTGGTTTTTAGTATCCTTACCACGGAGTGTGTGTGCAATCATGACCACAGGCAATTTTAGAACATATTCCTCACCTCGAAAAGAAACCCAGTACCCTTTAGGGATCACTGTCTTATCTCTCTCTCCAACCCCTCAGTCCTGAAGAACTACTTTCTGTAGATTTCTGAATCTATTTTCTGTGTGTATGTATTTGCCTATTCTGGACCTTTTATATAAATGAAATGATAAAACACATGGTCTTTTGTGACTGGCTGCTTTCACTTAGTGAAATGTTTCCAAGGTTCGCAGATAGTGCAGCCTATGTTGTTGCTTCCTTCCTTTTTGTGACTAAATAATATTCCATTGCATGGAAATTACACATTTTGTTTATCCATTTATCAGTAGATAGACATTTGAGCTGTTTCACCTTTTGGCTATTTTGATTCTTTTTTTTTTTAAACAGAGACAGGGCCCACTCTTTTGCCCAGGCTGGAGTGCAGTGGCATGATCATGGCACACTGCAGCCTTGAAATCCTGGACTCAAGCAATCTTCCTGTGTTGGCCTCACAAAGTGCTGGGATTACAGGCATGAGCCACTGTGCCCGGACTGTGTATAAGTTTTTATGTGAACATGTATTTTCATTTCTCTTGGGTATAACCTAGGAGTATAATTGCTGGGCATCTGAGCTATTTCTTAAATGCTGGAAACATGCAGGGCCTTGAAG